CATTCACATGTGCTATTTACTTTTTCAGTGGGAGCAAGAGAGGAAAAGGAGTCACTGTTACTTATCTTTATAGATTTATATTTTAACACATCCATGACATGTTCCATACCTGTAAGAAGAAACGTTTGAGTAAATGTGCCCTGACAGGCACCACCATGGGGTAGACTAAATGGCTATTCTGGTGAAGAGGAAGTAGCTCTGAATTCCTCAGGTTTTTTTTTTTTTCCACCAGCTATGTGAAAGTGGGGGCATCCTTATCCTTGCACAGGGCAGAGTTCCAAAGCTTCACTCAGAGAACTCTGTCCTTTGAAACATCTGCTGCTCAGCCCAGCTCAGTTGGCTTGTGTGTTTCTGTGCTGCCTGGTTAAGATTTCACATGTGACTGCTCTCTCACCAGGAAATTGAAGCATGTGACTTCTTCCTTTGGTCTTTCTAGTTGTTCAGTTAACTGAAAACAACAAACAAAAAAACCACGTGTTGAGCCTGGAAGGTGTCACATAGTAGTATTTGAAAGTGAGAGCATGACTACTGGAAATTTTTTTCCCCAGAAAATATTTTTTCAGACTTAGATTTTCTGTAGGGCGGTAAGATTTTATGTTTTGTTTTTCAAAGGTATTTCAGTATGTGGACTTGTTTTGTATTGTCAGTTGCTTCCAGAGAGGGACTTGATACTGTTGCCTCCCAAGTAGTGACTGCTGGGCTGAGCAGAAATGCTGTAGGAACATCAGCTGCTACAAGTTTGTGGGAGTAGAACCTGAGTTTGTGGGTATTATGGGTTCTTTGATGAAAGTTTACTTACAGCTTGTGCTTGAAAGACATTCACATGAAAGAGTTCCTTAGCAGGTTAGAAGTGGCTTTTGAATCCAGATGTTATTGTGGGACAAATGGCCTTGGCTGAATACATTTTAAAAGACTCTAAAATAGAAATTGTAGCATAGTTCTTATTCCTTAAAGAGTAACTTTGTACTCTTTGCCATCCCTTTCTCAGAGGGTTATTAAAGGACAAGTCTGTGATGATAGATTTAACCCAACATATTTTGTGATTTGGAGATTGCTCTTGTAGCAGGAATAAAATACCTGAAGTGACAACATGTACCTTTTTTTTAGACTGAGAAATTATGAGTGACCATTAAAAAAAAAGTGTTAGTACACTTTAGTTAGTACATCATCTTTGTCAACATATTCCTGTTGAACACAGGATTGAAAACAAGCAGTATTTCCAGACATTTGAATTTTCACATCTATCACTGAATAGCAAGTCCTTCTCAGAGGCTTACTGTTATTATTAGAAAAATGGGGCTGATAATCCCACTCTCACAGGTAGTTGAGAAAATTAGCAGAGGCCGGCATTGTACAGCTCGTTAAGTTGTTGCCATCTTCTGTTGGAGTCTTTGCTGTTCTAATTTCAATCCAGCTTCCCAATAACGTGCCTGAGAAACTGGAGAAAGATGGCTTGAGTGCTTAGGCCCCTGTCACCCACGTGGGACACCTGGAAAAAGCTCCTGGCTCCTGGCTCCTGGCTTTGGCCTGCCCCAGTTGTGGTCATTAGAGGAGCAAATCGGTGAATGGAGGATATTTTTTTCTCTCTGTGTAAATCTTCCAAATAAATACATAAAATTTCATAATAATTTGAGGCAGTAGACAAATCTGATCACGTGCCTAAATGTGTGCTGAGGAATCAGTACCAAGTGGGGCCTGTCCATGGCTGGTAAACCTTTTGAGCTGCTTTGAAAATCAGGCTCTCTAGCCTGACTGTGGTGTGTTTTATGTTGTTATCCAGGAGGTTTTGAGGCCTATTCAAGTTAGGCAGCGTCTGGCCTAGTGCAGAGTGTCATATAAGAATGAACTTAGGAGTGCTTATAGGAAGGAACTGCAAAGAGTCTGTGGAATAATAGAGTTAAAACATGTATAACCAAAGAAATTGAAATATTTGCATAGCTTTTTCCACAATGCGCATTTATCAGGAATTTTTTTTAATGAACTGCACCTCACTACCTGGAAAAAAATTCTGCATGGACCAATAAGAACATCTGACCATGCTTATATTTTGGGATGGAGTTTTCTTATACATTTGTGCAAAAAATGGTCACCTTTAAAGTGATAGTTAACTTATAATTATTCAAAAATAATTACAAAGTCTGTAAATCAGAGAGGACTTTTACCATTTCCTAAAACCCCTTCATTTAAAAGTTCTTCCACCCAGACTCCTTGCTTATACCTTGGTTTGAAAACAGTGACATGCATAGTCTAAACAAACGATTACTCATGTTATGAATTGTATTTTTAATTTTTAAATGTTCATTTCTTCTGCATTCAAAATAGCCCAAGAAAAAGTATTGCTAACAGATTTTGTCTGGGAACCTTTACCAGACCACTCTCTAAGCCATTGCGAAGTGGAAATAAAGGCTAAGTCAACCTGTTAGCTGCAAGGAGGAAGAGTGATAACCTGAAGCATAAGTTCATGGCCCACCCTGTGCATTTCTGCTAACTTCCTGTCCCTTTCACCTTCTTCTGCCGGCTTAGAGCCTTGGTCCTGGATGTCCAAGAGAGTTGTCCCATACCAAGTGTGGAGTCTCTCAACAGCTCTTTTAGTGATATTTGTGATTTCTCATGGAAGCTCACTACTTTCATTTTGCTGGAAAAGTGGTGATGAACAGAATAGTAAACATTCATGGGTTGTCCTCAACTTGGGACAGTATTAGTTATACCTGCAGTTAATTTTTTGAAGCTAATGCGGCAAAAACCTTAGTTACCCAAAGTCCTTAATAGAGTTTTCTCTTCTCTGAGAGATACTATGATTTTAGAATGGGTGTGTAATAAGTCAGTGCTGAGAATTTAGGAAAGAATGACATAATAACTAATGGTTAGTTCTATAGCAGTTTTCACTGGTTTTGAATGATATTAAACTGATGCTAAGGTTAGTTTGATAAAATGCTGAGCTGATTGATTCAGTAATATTGTCGTAATTTTAGACCAGTGTGAAGTGAAGGATAATTAGTTGTGAGGATTTGTTGGGAAATTGAAGAGTGGCCACTGGGTAGTCTGATACTGAGGGGAAGCCCCCTTTTTCTGTCTTGGACTGAGAAACTTGGCTTTTGGGGTTCGCTTTTCCCTAGTCGTGGGTAGCAGTTTATTCACAACTGGGAGAATTCTGCCTTGTCAAGTGGAGCCAGAGGTGAGCAGTGAAGGTGCAGAACTTAGTGTTGTTAACTGATAGCATCATAAAGCAGGGGTCCCCAGCTAAACTGCCTTGGGCAAACTCCATCTACTCCTGAAGGCATGTACATGCCATGTAGTTTCTAGGCAAAGAATGTTTGAAGCTCACCTTAGGGTGTGGATATCCCTATGCCCATCTTTCCATGCAAACCTGTTGCAAAATGGGTGTAAAATCAGTTGGAGGGCAACAAAAAGTTGCTTCTTGATGAATCCTTACTTGCCCTCTAATGGTGTTTTTTTGATATCGACAAGAGGGGATTGACTATACCATAAAAGAACTGAAAGGAATTCCTGAGTGGCCATTGAACCTATGGTCCTACCATGCCTGGAAGAACGGTTGATGCAGAGTCATACTGTATCAGAGAAGGCACCACAGGCAGTTTCTGGTTTAGTGTCTTTTTGTTTTCACCATGTTCATGAGCATGCATTTTGATTTCATTTTTATAAGTGTTCTCTTAAAATCAGTTACTGCCTTATCCACCATTTGTGAACAGTTACTGACCGCATGATCTAAATGGTGAATGTTAGCACAAGAGGCCTTCCCTTCCCATAGTGTGCTTGAGGAAACGTGCAGAACTGAATAGAATGCACACGGAAGTTCTATAGATGGCCAGAACCATGATTTCCAGTTCAGATCTGTACGAGATAATGGGAACTTTCAATGCTAAAGCAAGGAATTTGATTTTATTCTGCAATAGTAAAATGCCATGAAATGCTTGTTATTTTAAAATATGGATAGTGACCTAAAGCCCAGGGCCTTAAATCAGGTTTGTAAATTAAAGAGCTCAGAGATGGAAAGGCTGGGATAGCAGTAGGCTCTTGTCAGAGGAAATGAAAAGTTATGAGAAAAAATAGTCAGGAAAAAGGGTTGGAGAAGATGCCTTCTTTGAGACTTCGCTAGACAGTATCTGTTCTCACTTGTTCAGAGGGCATTGGGAAAGTAGAATTGGTAATTGCCTAGGAGCATTTTTGTTGTTTGCTGTACTTTTCCGTGAGGTTCACTAGGCATGGCCTGTCTCTGGCTGATAGTGAAGTCAGCTCTCTTGTGGTTTGAGTCCAGCTTTAACTGTACCTCTGTCAGGCTTCATTGTCTGTGAGTTGTTTCTCAGTGTATGCATTTTAACCCATTTGGTGCCAAGGCTGGTAATTTGGGATAAATTTTTATAAGGTTTTGTTAGCAGGGCAATCAGACATTTTCAGTAAGTAGAACTGACATTGAAAATTGGATTTATCCAATGCTGAGATGTGAAATGATGAAGAAATCATCTTTTTGGGTTTACATGCCAAAACACTCATAGTGTAGGCACAGAATAAAGTAAATACTGTTTTGGGTGCCTGGTAATCTTTTAATTATGAAATAAACCTTTTGATTTTGATCTTTAATAATGTATAATGCTGATCCAGGAAAACGGCCTCTTTAAAGTTCACATCCTGCTGAGTCCTCCAGATGAAAAGCTTCTACCTATGCCCCGTATTTTTCAAGCTGAATGTTAAAATATGATTATCTCTGTCTCTGTTCCACTGCTGCGTATGAAAGACTGTTCCATTTGGAGTCAGTCCTCAGCCAAGATGGAAATTGTAGCCCAGTGTGAATGATTCCAGTGCCAGAACTTGGATTTGGGAAGTCTTAGCCCATGGACCACAGCCTCAGGCCAGGGGCAGTTAAGGGACTTGTGCTTCCTTTGCCATCTCTTCTGTCCAGACCCGCTCGTGCTTCTGTATGCTGTGGAATGTGGATTCTGATAAGGTTTATCATTTTTGTTCTTTTGTGGCATCTGAAACAGCTTGTACAATGAAGACAGAAACCTGCTTCGAATTAGAGAAAAGGAGAGGCGCAATCAGGAAGTTCACCAAGATAAAGAGGCACTTCCGGAAAAGATTCCCCTTTTTGGAGAGCCCTATAAGGTATTTACTGTAGGCTAGAAGGTGAAAGTCCGATTTATCACAGAATTGAACCCTGTATATGATGAAACTGTTTAACTTTGTTGGAATGAGGGTCCTAGTTGTGAAAATAACTTAAAGAGTGTTTTTGAAAACAAAATATGAAAATTCTTGACTCTTGTAGAATTGCCAAACGTTGTGGCTTTCTTTTGCAACATTTTCCTTGTCTAATCAGTAATGTGTGTCCACCAAAGGCTTCTCAGGAGGGGAACTCAATTAAAACAGAAGTGTGTTTTTCTTAAAGATTTACTTATTTGAAAAAGAGAGATACAAGGGGAGAGGCAGGGTTATTCCATCCCCAGACAGCCACGATGGCCATAATTGGGCCAATCCGAAGCCAGCAGCTTTGTTGGGTTTTCACATGGGTGCAGCAGCCCAAGTTCTAGGGCTTTGCTCACCTGCTTTTTCAGACACATTAGCAGGGAACTGGATTGAAAGTGGAGCTGCCAGAACTTTAGATGGCACTCATATTGAATGCTTGCACCAAAGGCAGTAGCTTAACATGCTACCCTACAGTGCTGACCCCTAGAGCTTTTTCTTTAATGGTTCATGTAAAATAGTTTTTACAATGATTGCTGTCCTTAGATTCTTTTTTCCAGTGTCTAACTCTGCTGTCCTTTCTTTTCTTTGCAGACAGCAAAAGGTGATGAGCTTTCTAGTCGAATACAGAACATGTTAGGAGACTATGAAGAAATGCAGGAATTCCTTAGTAGTAAGTCCCATTCTCAGCACTTGGATGCTTCTCAGAATAGGTTTGAAAAGTTGAAACATCCTTTATTTCTTGACAAGGGGAGCAGCGTTCCATCTAACTCCTTCCACAGTATTGTTCACCACCAGCCCAGTCACACTTCCGCCTCTGGACCACTTCCTGTTGGTAACAGCAGTCACAACCCAAAGATGGCACAGCCAAGAACGGAACCAATGCCAAGCGTCCATGACAGAAGTTTTTGCCTGCTGGAAAATCAGCACCTGATCCGGGATCACCCTGGTCAGGAAGGGTATAGCTCCAGTCATTACAAAAAAGGGGACCATAGGGTTGCTGGAGAACATTGTACTTTGATGATGGCCTCGGCTGCAGGGAGGGAGCTTTCTCCTTTAATCTCTTTGCCTTCCCCAATACCCCCTTTGTCACCTCTACATTCCAACCAGCAGAGTCTTCTCAGGACACAAGGAAGTAGCAAGGTTCATAGTAGTAACAACAGTAAAGGCTACTGCCTGGACAAATCTCCCAAGGACCCAGTGGTGAAAGTCCATGAAAAAGAGACCCCTCAAGACAGCTTGGTGACAGTTGCCAGCATTGGGGCAGCCCCTCCCCAACCACCTTCTCAGACATTTCCACCCACTTCCCTCCCCTCAAAAACCTTTGCCATGCAACAGAAGCCCACAGCTTATGTCCGGCCGATGGATGGTCAAGATCAGGCTCCTAGTGAGTCTCCTGAACTGAAACCACCACCGGAAGACTACCGACAGCAGACCTTTGAAAAAACGGACTTAAAAGTGCCTGCCAAAGTCAAACTCACAAAGCTGAAGATGCCTCTTCAATCAGCTGAGGTGAGTGAAATTTCTCACCTGGGCAAAGACAGTTTGAGACCTAATTGGAAATGCAGGTTTCTGGAGGGTGGAAATGCATATGTCAGTCCCTGACCTTTGGGCATAGAGATTTCTTTGTGATTTTAGGATCTTGCTAACCCATGCAAAACCTAGCTTTGAGTGTGAGTATGATGATACTGAAATGTATTTTGTAGAGATGTTGATAATACCATTTTAATTGAACCATGATTTACAATACTATAAGAATCAGAGATTATAAGAATACAGTTTATGGTTTCTTATTTATAATATTTATTTTAATTTTTAAAAACATTTATTTGTTGGACCCAGTATGGTAGCCTAACAGCTAAAGCCCTCACCTTGCACATACCAGGATACTGGTATGGGTACTGGTTCGTGTCCCAGTGGACCTGCTTCCCATCTGGCTCCCTGCTTGTGGCCTAGGAAAGCAGTCAAGGATGGCCCAAAGCTTTGGGACCCTGTACCCATGTAGAAGATCTGGAGAAAGTTCCTGGCTCCTGGCTTCAGATTGGCTCAGTTCCAACCATTGTGACTGCCTGGGGAGTGAATCAGCAGATGGAAGATCTTGCTCTCTGTCTCTCCTCCTCTCTGTATATCTGACTTTCCATTGAAGAGCAGAGATGTAATGAGGAAGAGAGACAGAGGTCTTCCATCTGTTAGATCAAGCCAAAGCCAGGAGCCAGGTCTCTCCCATGGTGCAGGGTTCCAAGGACTTGAGCCATCTTCTGCTGCTTTCCCAAGCATGTTAGGAGGGAGCTGGATTGGAAGTGGAGCACTTGGGTCTGAAACTAGCATTCATATTGAATGCTGTTATTTCAGGGAGTGGCTTAACAGCTAGACCACAGCACCCCATCCATATGTGTTTTATTTTGTTCCCTTTCTGTGAAAGAGATGGAGAGCTCCCATCTGTTAGTATACTCCCCAGTTGCATGCTACAACTGGAGTTGGTAAGGCCAAAGCCAGGAGGCAAGAACTCAGTCTAGGTCAGCTTTGTGGGCTTTGTTGGTTCTAGCTGTCTGAGTCATTACTTGCTATCTCCCATGGTGAATGTTAATACGAAATGTAAATCCTTAGTGGCACCAGCATTCTCATATGGAACATAGATGTCTTGACCACTGTACCAAAGGCTCACACCTGGATTTTTGCTTTTAAAAATGTGTTTGCCTGCATGTCATACAACCTGGTCAAGGGAGAGAGCATTTCTGTTAGCGGAAAGTGTCAGGCATGTTTTGAGCTGTCTTGTTCGTTAACAAAGTGAAGCAAATTTTTTTTTAAACTAATACGCTCTCACACCCAGTCAGGACTTTCCTGAAAGGTAAATCATGAAAAAGTAGACACAAAACAAATTTTAAAGCAAAGCCTTTTATTTTTGTTACTTTAAAGGATCTGTTCAATGTAAATTATAAGGAATTTTGAAACCAAAAGTCTGTTCCAGTGGTTTTTATTTACCACCCAAAAAAGAAGTGTGGGTGTATGGTGACATCTCATTTGAGAATGAGTTACAGCTATCATACAGAATGTTATTCAACTATGAGATTTTGAAAGTAACAATAATATTTTTTACGTCTAGAAATTCCCTTTTCTGCTCCTTTGAAAAATGGCAGCATTTTGTTGAAACAAGGAGAATCAGAGCTCATGCTGTGGCACTAGAGTTTATAATGCCAGTGACTCCAAATTAAGACTAATCAAACAGGGTGAAATGTTTGAAGTTAATTTTAAAGCTTATCTATTAATATAAAGTCTGTGGTTTCCGCACTTCTATTATATAATGACTCTAATTTACATATCCATCGCTCAGACATTTGAGCAATCTTTACTTTCTCACATAAAGGCAGAAAGTAAAATTCCTTCAGGTTTAAAAAGAAGATGATTGGGGAGCAGCTCTACCTAGAGAGGGAGCAAAGCTTCCAGGGTGAAAATCTACTCCTTTGTGCTAGGAATCACCTTTTAGGTTGCAAGCCATACATTCTGTTGACTATCATATCACTGTGATTTCACAATGTGACTGATTTGGGAGCTGAGAAAGGGAAAGTAAAACGAATGGCTAGAAATGACCAAGGTGGCCAGAATGTATCTCTGCTTTTGAAGTTCAACACAATGAGACATTGAGCCTTTTATGCTTTCCAGGAGGTGTAAAAGGCAGAATAAAGCAAGATGCTCGCTCAAATGGTTACTCGGCCTACCTTATAATTTAGACAGTAAATAACTTAATTTTATTTTTCATCTTTGCTTTATTTCTCATAGTATTGTCAGTTTAGAAAGACCATGATTTTATTCTTAAGAGTAGTAAACAACTGAAAAATTGCCATAGAACTGTTTAAAGACAAACTATCCAGTCTTTGTCTTGACTACCAAATACTCTCCTATATGCTGAAATGCAGGGGTAGAGAATGCCAATGCAGTATTGGTGTCTGCCCTACAAGAAACCTCAGTCTACTAGGGAACAAAGAACTGAGTACAAATATCTCATGTAAGCTGCTTGAGAAAGTTTCAACTTTCAGCTCCTACGGCAGGAAGTCCCCTTCATATACTCTGAATTCACCCCCAGATGAATTTAGCCAGTGGGTTTCCCAGCAGATTTTTCATGAACAACTTGATTTACTGCTTTCTAAAGAGTGAAGGAAGAAAACGTTGAATGGAGATATCTTCCAGGTCTAAAGTCCATAGGTGAGATTTTCAGAGTTCATGGAAAATGCATGTATTGTGAAGAACAGGGCATGGATTTTGAATGTTGTTTTGCATTAATATAAACATTTTCCACGTATTTTTAAATGCCTTCCTGAGACTCTTTTAGGTGGCCTGTGCGTGTTTGTTTTTCAAAGGAGTCAAAACATTTGAAATGAATAAAATCTTCCATAACTTTGGTTTTTGGAGAATGATGTTTTCTTGGCACAGATATGTGTGCTGTCATCAGTGGAGTAGCTGTCCACTTTTCATCTGTGGCCTCTGTCTGCAGTCAGCATTCCTTTTAATATGATGCGTCCCTCCAGTCTCTGCCAGAGTCCTCATGTCAGTGGTATGTGTGGTTCCAGTTGCCAGGGCACTCTGAAGCTGCAGGGCTGGGACAGACGGAGGGTTCTGGGTGGCACATGAGTGGGAGTTAGTAGTCAGAAACTTGTAGGGATGGGGTTGTGTGTCTGAGAAGCTGGGGTATTAGTGCTGTGCGTCTAAGTTTGGGGTTTGAGATAGTTCCTTTAATGTGACAGCATTTTCTGAAGCTTTACACTCAACAAGACTCGTGTTGTTTGTTTGTTTATTTATTTATTTATTTATTTATTTATTTATTTATTTATTATTTTTAAAAATAAATCAAGATTGAATTGAAAACCTCCAATCTTATTATTCTGGTGAATTGAATGACAGTATAGATGAGGAACCAGAAAAGCCAGGGAATCGTCCACTGAGTGTGAGTTTAATTGCAGAACTAGAATCTAAGCCATATCCTGGGTTATTCTTGGCCTTGGGGAAGAAGAGGAAGTTGGCTGTTGGTGGAACTGAGAGAAGGGGGATGGAGGTAGTTAGTGGTTTTCCTTGATTTGCTTAATTGGTCCTAGGCAAGTTGGAGATTTCCTCTTCCTGGCTGCCAAGTTGATGATGGTTGGGTTTCATGGTTTGTTTCGTTAACTCCCTGTGACCTCCTCACTGCTTCCATGCAATGGCATTTGTAAAACAATCAACCCCGGTAGGCTGATCTTCTTGTCTTTTTGGAATTTTTTTTATTCTTAAATTGGATAAATGAGAATTTGTCAAAGTCCTGTCTGTCAGTTCTCATGGGAAATACTTGTCTTTATATTTGTGTTCCTAAAAACTTATCCTTTTTTTTGGAGAGATAAGATATTCTCAGCTAAAATTTAGTGCTTCCTATGAGCCTTAAGGAAAAAGAATTACCAAAAGATCAGTGTACTTGTTTTTCAAATATTTATTTTAAAATAAATATGTATTTATATGAGAGGTAGAATTAGAGGGAGAAACAGAAAGATATTGTCCATTCCCTGGTTCACACCCAAATGGCTACAACAGTTGAGATGGGCTAGGCTGAAACCAGGATCTAGAAGCTTCTCCCAGGTCTCCCTTATGAGTGCAAGGTCCCAAGCTATTGGCCACTGTCATTGCTTTCCCAGATGCATTAGCAGAGTAGGAAGCTGGATCAGAAGTGGAGCAGCCAAATCTCTATCTGGTCACCTGTGTGAGTTGTCAGGTAGCTGCTTAACCCACTACCCATCTACCTTAAAGTGCTGAGACCTGTTTTCCCTGGAAGTATCAGATTTTTATTTTTATTTTATTAATTTATTTGTTCAAATGGGAGATGGCTAGTGGTATGGAAGGACTGAAAGGGGAGGGCCTGGCCTTGGTGACCTCACTTAGAGATTAGATATTACAGTTCGGGTTGCCACATCAGAGACTTGCCAGTTAGAAAGTTGAGACTTCTTTCTATTCTGTTTTGCCTGGAGATGATGACAACAATAAGCCTTGTGGAATGTGGAAAATGTATCAAATTATGTACTAAAGGTAGATAACCAGAATTTTAAAGTAAACACACCCCCTTCATTTTGCAAGCAAATTCTAAGAGTTCTAAGGGACTAAAGTTTCATTTAAGTAAAAGCTAGTGTCAGAGCTGCTTGAGCCTGAATTCCTGATTTTCTGCCCCCAGTGTGTGTGTGTGTGTGACAGCAGTGGTGGCAACATGGAGTTTGTGCCATAACTTTGAAATGAAGACGGTTCCTGAGTGGGTGTTGTGATGCTGTATGTCGGTTAGGCATGCTGCCTGGACACCCATATTCCATATCAGAGTGTGAATTTGAGTACCAGCTACATTGCTTCCCATTTAATTCTTTGGTAATATGCCTTGGAAAGTCAGGTAGATGATGACCTAAATGCTTGGCTCCCAGTCTCCTGTTTGGGAGATCAGGATGGAATTTCTGGCTCCTGGTGTTGGCCTGTCCTTGTCCTGGCTTACGCAGCCATTTTGGGGGGTAAAC